ATTCAACTTATTCAATTTGTTTGAAGTCTTAGTGAAAAATTTGCACAATAGGTTTAAGATTTATATAAATATTGCAATGGATTACATAATTGTAAAGGTTATGTGAAATTGATTCATGAACAGCATAGTAATATGATTTCCAAAAGATTATGTAAATTTTGCAATAGATTTATGGACAGTGAAGGATTTACACAAATCTTGCAAATAATTTATATGATTGTAAATTTGCATGAATAGTGTTGGAATTTCAAATGGTTAATGTAAATTTTGCAATAGATTTTACATAATTGTAAATTTGCATAAATATTACAAGGATGTATGGATTTAATTTTCATTATTGTGCAACCAAATTTTTCAGGTGCTTTGCTGTGAAAGCATCCCACATAATCTTTATATGTAAAGGTGAATATAAGTTATTAATTCATCTACTAAAAATATTTTAATATATATTTAGTAAAATTAATTTTAATTTGAATCTAAATAAATGAAAAATACCAAGTGTTAATATTGCTATATTATTTGAAGATTATTTGTTAGTAACCAGAAATATTGTTATATTGGTAATAGTAATGTTTGATTATTTAATGGAGACCTTTTTTATTACAGTCATTATAAACATAATAAATGAGATGCCAAAAAAATGTAATGATTTATTCGGAGAAATAAATCATGTGATTTTTATTCTTAATATTTATTCACGCAAGAATTTAGTGAAACATGAAAATTCTCTACGCGTTTCTTACAAAATGGTAAATTTATATATACATTAGCTAATTTTTATTTAAATATATCTATATTATTGCTCATTATATATTTATTCTGACATTCCAAAAGGAATCAACCAAAACACCAAATTAAATAGATACAAATTTGGTATGTATTTAGTGAATATCATGTTTTTTTTTTTTTTATTAATTTTAGTGTATAATATTAATATAATATTTATTATAATAAATATTTAGACATTCCTGGCTTCTTAAAACGTAGTAATCAATCACCAATGAACAATTATGAAAGTAAAATAAACAATAATTCTGTTAAGAATCAATGAAAAAAAAATTTTTTTCTGAAAATAAGAACAAAAAATAATTCTAAAAGAAAATGAACAAATATGAAATCAAGATTTACTTATTTTTTTTTTTTTTAATTTTTTGTGCCTTCACAATTTTTCTATCTTCTAATTCATTGATGGCTTCATTATTTTGATCATCTTCATTTTTATCATCATCATTATTCTGATCAGTAACATTATTTTGAGATTTATCTTCTTCAGAATCTTGATCTTCATTAGTGTCACTTTCATATTTATCTTTCTAAAAACATGTGATATATAAATAATATGAATTAATCAATATGGAATATATAAAATTCCAACTTTCAAATTAAAATACAATGTCAATAATTACAATTTGTATAATATCACCCATATTACCACTCCTACCACAATTATCATCTTTCAAATTTTGCTAAATTACATAAAGTTTAATAATTATTCTCAATATCATGATAAACTAAATTATATTGTTAAATAAATCCATTGAATTATTACCATAAATTTTCTCATGTGGGTCTTTATAAGATTTTCCTTAATCAATATAGTGTTTGTTTCTGGGTCTAAAATTAATACTGTCACAGCATGTGTGAATGCGATTAGTGATAAAGATGGTCGATGTTTTAAGAATGTTCTGCTTAAAATTTCTTCAAAAAAACTTTTATCTGTCTTTTCATTTGTTTCATCTAACAAACTGAAACATCTTTTTACTTCATCTGAATTTTTCCAATCAATGATTTCACTTGGTGTTGCATTAGTATTTATCATTTTTTTTAAAGTATCTTTAAAAGTGACAAAAATATTCTCTTTGATTTTTGCAACTAATGTGCTCTTAATGATCTAATTGTTTTGTTTAACTTAAAAATAAAAAAATAATGTTAATTATACATTTATTCATATATTATTTAGCATTTATTATGTTACATTTTTAAATAGACATGTAACATAATAATGACCATGTTGCAACCACCATCAAATGTCATGGCCAGCATCTATAACATGGCTCATGAGTAAAAGTATTATTATTATTTTAAATAATTACCTTTTCTGATAAGATCTTTTCATACCATTTTAAAAATTTCAAATCATTATTTTCAAATTTATTGCAATACCATTCTCCATCATTATTTTTATTATAGTCAGTAGCTTCACTAATCATTTCGCTTTGGGTTGGATAAATATAATTATTTAATAATTCAGCACTTATAGTTTTCACATGGCTCTTGATTGAATAAAAAAGAAATTACATAAGTTAATATTTATTTTCTAATATATCATCTAAATATATATGATTCATAAAAAAAAACCTATATATAATAATTGCAACAGTGAAATTATACCTCAATTGTCTTTTGGTCAAATTGATGATTTTTGTTCTCAAGCTTACTTTCAATCTTTTTGACTAAATCAAATAATTTGTCAATTTTTTGAAAGATCAATATTTGATTATCAATAATATTTTCTATAGAAGGGGCTAATAAAATTGAAATTATATGTAATATTAG